CATGATTTATATTAATTAACAGTTGATCAAGATTATCTCCTGATAGGAAAACAGTCGTATCATCAGCGAAAGACACCGTTTTAAGTGTCTTTAACGAATGTCGTTAACATAAATTAGAAACAGCAAAGGGCCTAATACACGTTATGTCTGTGAGATTTGATTCATTTGAGTTAACATGACGTATTGTTTCCTACAACTTAAGTAACTAGAGAACCAATGTAAAGCAATACCTATGATTCCATAGTAATGTAGTTTTTCAAGCAAATATCATGATCAATAACATCAAAGGCCTTAGAAAGGTCCATAAACACACTGACTAAGAATTTCTTCTTTTCAAATCCCACCGTAATGTTGGCGATAAGATCCATAATGTCGTCGGATGTCGAATGGTTTTCACGAAACACAAATTGGTGATCGGAGGATAGTGTATTTATCTAAAAATTGGTATAATTTATTGTCCTCATGTATATTTTTTACAGTAATTATCAAAAATAAAAGCAGAATCATCACAAAAAGAGACAGTCTGCTCCTAAAATATACAATAATTTATCATCAGCAATTGATGTTGAAAAAATGTCCATGTATCAGGAAAGTTTACTTTTTAAATTGGTTAATTCTTCATTTCTAATGTCGTCAAATGCCGTACATTTTAATAAGAAATGCTCTACATTTCCTATTTCTCCACTGTCACAAAGGGTACAAACGCCTGAGACGTCATTGGACCATTTATAAGTTTTACAATCAACCTGTAGCGTGTCAGATCTTAACTTGAATTTTAAGCTTGACCCATAGAAATTAGTTTTGTCCAGTAAGTATTTTTGTAATTTCCACAATGTTCCCATAGTAAACACGATTAAAATCATCTAGACGCAGGGTTCCTGGAACGCCGCCGACAGCGGGGTGTGCGAAGCACAACTCAGAGTCAGTAGTGGAACGTGAATTTCGATATGGTTTCGTAGTCAGATTTGCGAGAAAAACTTCAGCTACCCGTATTTCTTGACTGAGACGTCAGTGGGAGCTGTAATTTGTATGGCAAGGAGATTTTGCTACCCTTAATTCGTATTAAGGGAATGTACGCCCACAAACCTTGTAGTTATTAATGTTTTGGTTATAATAGAAAATTTCTATTTTTTTGCTGACGTCACTCACAATATAGTTAGCATGCATACGTCATAAGCTAGATTACGCCACCTTTTCCTGGCAAGGCAAACTTTCCCGGCGTGCTTTTTGCTGCGAAGCAGCCAATTCATATTCTTGACAGCAATTTGACCTCTGAAAGGTCATTGTTTGTCAATAAACATGGGCCTAAGACGACTGAAAAGAGGAGTTTCCTTCTTTCGTTCTGCCGGGTAAAATCAATTACTTTAGGCGACGTTTGTAAACTAACCAACACGTACCAACGTCCGCATGTCGCGCTAGCTTTATCCTACTCTAGGCCTAAACTAGCTAGTTGAAGGGACGAAGGTCCCAATGAAAAACAACGTCGCTCCTTGATAGCTAACATTGTCTATTTAACATCACAATAATTCATTATTAGACCTATAGTTGTTTTTTGAATTGTTCTTCACAAATCTCAGCCGATACCTCGCACAACTCGAGTAACGTCTCGTATCT